GTTAGTACACAATATATATATATATATATATATAAACTTCTTTATTAGAGATTCCTATAATCTCATTCTGAAAACCCTAGCTGTTATATATTGCTTGTTGCCGTCTAGAGCTCTCACCAGCCATTGCCACCACTACAATCGATTATCTTCACCGGCCACCACCATCGCTGATCATCTTCGCTGGCCACAAAAATCATCTTCACTGACCATTATCTTTTTCATATGTTTCACCCCATTTCTCGAGGTACATATAAATTTTGTTGATATATCTTTTATGATTCACTTATCTTTTGAATGTATGACATTTACTGATCGTGTAAAGATTTCACCGATTTTCTTAAGTATTGTAAAGAAAAGCAAAAAAAAATCAATATTGCTTACAAAAAGAGAAATTTTTAGAAAAGGAAGTTTTTGTTTATATATTTCTTTGATTACTTTGAATGCCTTTTCTAAATCTTATTCTTTTTATATCTTTCTACTATGAAGTAACCAAAGTCATAATTTTTTTTCTATGATTCTAAACCTTTTCTTTTCTAGAAAGACATCAAACACGGTGTAAACCCGATCAAACCGATTAACCTGCCCAACCTGAGTGTTGTTGAGCTCGGATTAGGCTACTCGAACTTGGCCTTTGGTTCAATCGGGGGTGGCCAACAATTCCCATACTACGGGTTAAGCTAGGGTTGATAGCTCAACCTACCATTTTTGTTTTGTTTTTTTTTTTTTTTTGTTATTTATTAAATACATGTCTTATGTTCTGTTTGGTAGATGGAATGAAAAATAGATGGAAGGGAGAGGGGGAAAGATAGATAATGCATGCTTAGGGAAGAAATTGTGTCTTACTTACTTTTTGTTTGGTTTGATGGAAGAGATAATATATAGGATTGACAATGTGAAACTTTATTTTATTTGGTTAAAAGGAAGACAATGGGAGTTGTAATAGCTCACTCCACCACATAGTATGATATTATTTGCTTTAGGTCCGAACCCGCACAGTTTTATTATTTGATTTTCAACTCAAAAGGCAAAACTAGTACATATAAGCACCTTCACATTTCCTAGGAGATGTGAAATTGTACAACCTGTAGCTCACCCAGTGTCTCACACCCGACCATGTAGGTCGTCACAATCACCCAATAAGGGGACCAACATCCTCGTTGGCTGCACTTCCGGCTGGGCTTCGGTTCTAATACCATTTGTAATGACTCACTCCACGACATAGTATGATATTATTTGTTTTGGACCCGGGCTTGTACAGTTTTGTTCTTGGATTTTTATCCCAAAATGCCTCATCCTATTTAGATATGGAACTAGTACATATAAGTACTTCATCTTCACCTTTCTCAGACTATGTGGGATTGTGAAACCTGTAACTTGCCTAATGTCTCGCACTCGCTCACATAAGTCTCCACAATAGTTTTTATAATTTTGTAAATAATTGAAAAATATTTTAGTTATAAAAGATAACATAACAAGTTCTCAAGAATATAGTAGTTTTGAAACATTAATCCTTCGTTTTATAGGAATGAAGGAAGTGGGGTAAAGGGAAGATAGAAAGAAATGAACAAATTTCATTCATTCAATAAAAAGGGGACAATGAGAGAAGGATAATAGGATGAATGAGTCATCATTCTTCACAAATTTTTATATCCCTAACTATGGATGAAAGAGAAAAGGGAAGACAAGTGGGCTATTATTAAGGTTTTAAATTACAATATTATTCTTTATAAATTATAATATTATAGATCGTGATGGTACAATGGTAAAAATAATTTAAAACTATCTATTCATTTCTCTCATAATGAACACAGAAGTCGTCAGTTATTTATTTTATCTTCCATCCGACAGAGGAAAAAAAATGGTAGGATACAATATATTCTTTAGAGTTGTCTCATCCATTGTTTATTCTCTCCCTTTCGCCCAATTTTTTTCCTTCCAACCGAACAAAGCATAAGTCTTAGGGTGACCATGGATCGGATTGATTCAGTTTGGACCTTAAACCCTAGCTAACTAATTCGATCACTATAAATTGATGAAATTGAATCCGATTCGATTCATGGAAAGCTTTAGTCTGACCCGATTCGTAAAATATCAGATAAAATCAATTTGGTTTTATGGAATGGACTTTTATAAACAACACTATATATATATATATATATATATATATATATATATATATATATATATATATATATATATATATAGCACGCACCATGACTCAATAGATGGATCATAGTCGTATTTTTGAGACCATAATTTGTGAAACGATCCAATTCTTAAGATTTTTATTGATCGAATTAGATCGGATCGAATTTTACGAATCAAATGAACACTTCTATTGAGTTTTATATAATTTGTTAGTTTCCTTTATTTAGTTAGAATAGTTTTTTATTTAAAATTTTTATAAAGTAATAGTTAAACATTTAAAGATATATATAATTTATAGACTTCCATTTTTTTTCATTTTTAAACTATGATAAAATATTAAGCTTAACAAAATAAATAATAATAATAATAATAATGATGATGATGATGAGGAGTTATTTATTTCTCAAAAATATTTTTCTATGCAAGTGCCCTATCATTCGAGTGATTGGATACTTCTCGTGTCTAGAAGTGCTTCCTTCAACCACCAACCTTAAAATGGCCCTATATATATATATATATATATATATATATATATATATTTTCTGGTACTTATATATCTTAGCCATTATCACCATACTTATCTACTTGGAAGAAAGTGGGCCCTTTGTTTTTTCCCTCTTTTACCCACCACTATTTATTTTGGAATGGGGGAAAGTTTTAATATACTACAGCTGATGGTGGAATGAGTTTTTTTTATTATTTTTTCGGTTAAATGGATAAGCTACATTTCAAGAAATTTTGTATCTACAAAATGTGAGGATATTATATATATCTATAAATATATACCGTATTTATAGTACTCGTACTACATAGTAGTAGCATTCATGGTGTTGGTGACGGTTACATTAGATACAAATCATACAAAGTCCCTCCGTGGGCCATAGCCACGTGAAGGCCCACCATGTAAACTTAGGGAAGTCCCTCCATGGGCCATATTCACGTGAAGGCCCACCATGTAAACTTAGGGAAGTCCCTCCATGGGGCATAGCCACGTGAAGGCCCACCATATAAACGTAGGGCAAAACTGCAATACCGCTTCAATAGCCAATCCCGTTTCTCTGGGTGGCAAAGGACCTCCAGATAGACTAGGTAATGTATACAGCAATACCGTTATTGTGTACACATATTAAAGCTTCAATAGCCAATCACGTTTCTCTGAGTGGCAATGGACCTCCAGATAGACTAGGTAATGTTTGGGGAGATTTTGGAAGGAATAGGACTTCAAAGAAAATATGAGTTTTTGGTGGTGAATAAGTTGAATAGAGAGATGGAGGAGAAGGTAATATATGATTATATATATATATATTTATGTCCATTTTTTGAGTTGGAAGCTATATGAATTATATATTTATGTCCAATTTTTGAGTTGTAAATTTTTGTTACTATCACAAAGTTTAATCTTATCAACTTTAATAATTGATGAGCATAATGACGAGGAGGTACATAATGACATATCACATATGTGAATAGTGAAATTTTAGAATAATTAGAATAATTATGGAGTGTTAGAAAATTCTAAAACATTGAGATTTTTAGAAAAATTTGTAAATATCTAATAGTATTTATGTGGAGATTTTTAAAAGTGTAAATTAGAGAGGAGATCCTATAAAAGGAGATTTTATGGGAGGAGATGCTTATACATAGAAAAGAGTTTAACTTTGTGGAGAGTGAGTGGAATAAAATTCTCAATTTTAAATATGTTATCAATTAAAACATTTTCAAAACAATATATTTACCAAATATATATATATATTTCTTTTAAAAATGTTATTTTTTTATCCAACAATTTATCCCAACACTACCTATTTTGTGACTATGTGTCACATCTAGAGTGGTCTTTCACATTTCTTCTCCATACGAGTGACTATGTATTACTCGGAGATAATGCCGAAATATTGAAACGAGCACGATTACGTTATTGGCAAACGAGAGAGAGAATTACGTGAGAAGTGCATAGACACGTAGCATTAAAAAAATGACAGCCGTTTCATCCACGAATGCAGACAGACCGTGTGAACAAAGAAGGAGTCGGTTCAAATTTTATCTCACCTAGTATTATTATAGTCTATTATACTTTTAGAGCGAGAAATGAGCAACTATATACGACATTTCTCTGTTGCACCGCTTGGTAGCACCATTCAGGTGAGAGCGTATGGCCATTCACGCAGAATCAGGAGAGGTGGAGAAAGTAGCGGCACGAGGTTTTGTTTTGGTTGTTTTCCTACCTTTACACACCCTACCACTTTCTCTCTCTTAGTTAGTAACATAACTCCAAAAAATATTTGAACATATCTTCTGAACTAAAGTTTTTAAAGAAAATAGAACTGGTAAGAACTAACCAGAACAGTCATGGCGCTGGTTAGGTTTAGACTATTTCACCATGGTCACCACCGTTCTGATTAGAAACTTTTGTGATGTTGGGTTTTTTTTGTTGGCCCTTTTTCCGATCCATCTATACGCTTTTTCGTGGTTCAATAATAGTATGGGAAGATCTGTTGTTAGTCAAATTATTAACTAAATCTTTGTAAGTGTAAATTTTTTACTGTAATATCGAAAGTATTGATTAATGGAGAGAAGTCGCTTTCTTTACTGGTTATAGATATGAATATAATGCTTTTGTGGTGTAGTTGATAGAGTCCAGATGCTTTTTATGTTGCTTCTCTCCTGAGGGTTTGATAGGCAAGAGCGGGCCCTTTGTATCTTGCTTCCTTAATCAGAAACAACACTCTTCCTTATCCGTACACAGAGGATCCATCTTTCCCTGTCTTCTCTTTCTCTCTCTAAATCTATCTCCAAGCAACAGAAACCCCATAAGGGTTTCAACTTTCAACCCTTTTTTTGAAAAACCAGAGATGGACAAGGAATCTTTTGGTGAAGGGGTACATGCAAGTGTTGAAAACAAGTTAGAAGATAAGGTGGGTGTTGATGATTTGGCAAACACTCCTTTGTTTGATGCTATGGAGGAAGAGAGAGAAATGGGTGTTGGAGGAACGGAGATCTGGTCGCTTGACAGACAGCCCGAAGATCTGCTTGATGTGAATGAGAGATCAATATTCTACAATGACTTCCCACCGCTCCCTGATTTTCCATGCATGTCTTCATCTTCCTCTTCTTCCTCTAGTCCGGCCAAAGCAAATACAATGACATCGTCGGCTTCGTCATCGGCATCGTCTTCTTCGGTGGCTTCGTGGGCGGTCTTGAGGTCAGAAACAGAACGCCAAGGGGAGAGAAAGAATCACCATGATCAGGTGGGTGCAACTCCAACGGCCTTGTCATCCACAGCCTCCATGGAAGTGATCCCACCGACCGATGTCATCGGAAATGTCGATTGCATGGGCGTGGTGGACAATTTCGAGTACATGGATCTGATTGATGGCGATGATGCCTGGGACCCATCTACCTTTTTACAGACTGATAACCCTCAAGAATTTACACAAGAAGAGTCGACACAGCAGTATCAGACGGAAAATAATGAGCAATTTGTGATCCAGAGCAACAATGGACTCAATGGAGGGGTTGCTGAAAAGGACGGTGGTGGTCGACCTTCAGAAGAACTGGCAGTTGTGTTTTTGGAGTGGCTCAAGTCAAACAAAGAGTACATCTCAGCTGAAGATATGAGGTCCATCAAGATCAGGCGTTCCACAATTGAGTGTGCCTCTAAGCGTTTGGGAACCTCCAAGGAAGGGCAAAAACAACTCCTCAAACTCATTCTCGAGTGGGTAGAACAATACCAACTCAATAAAAAGAAAAATGGAGAGCCCACAACCCCTTTTCCCTATCAGTATGAAGAGCCTTTTCCAAACCCTAGCCTTAGCCCTACCTCTAACCCTAACCTCACTTGCAATTCTGTTCCTCCCGATCCCAACGCTTGTTTGTCACCCTCACCATGGATGCCACCGCCCCAGACTCCTTACATCGCTGATCCGGCCACCGTTGTCACCACTCCACAGGTTTTTCCGATGGTTGGGTACATGGGTGATCCTTATTCCAACAATGGAACTACCTCTCAATTGAATCAAACAGCGAATGTTCATCCTTTTCCAGCTTCAACAGAATATCAGATAATGGACTCGGCTCAGCCATGGCCTCCGACACAGATTGCTATGGCATCTCCATACAATCCCTATCAAGAAATTGACAATCTTTCCCCAGCTCAGCTTCATCCACAAGCAGTAACAGGGTATGGTAATCAATACCCATATCCATATAATTATCAAGGAAGTGGTGAGAAGTTGGTGAAGTTGGGTCCATCTGCAACTAAAGAGGCTAGAAAGAAGAGGATGGCTAGGCAGAAACGAATTTTCGCACACCACCGACATCACAATCATCAGAACAATCCAAACCCACCTCAGACTCAGAATCAGAGTGCAGATCAACATGCAAGGGTTGGCAGTACTCATGACAATTGCACCAACACTACAGTCCAAGCTAATCAGGGCAACTGGGTGTATTGGCCTCAAGTGGCCGACACTTCTGCTTCGACTGGGGGTGCAATGATGCCTCCGGTGGATGTGCCCTCGCAGCCTTATCCGGTGGATCAGCCACCCATGCAAGTACAGAACTACCAGCGGCAAGCCATGGTGGACCGGAGACAGGTGGCTTCTTTGCACCCTTAATTGTCCTTATTGAAGTATTAATCAAATATCTAATTTCTTGCCTGACAAAGGAGGGTATGCCCTTCTTTTCTCTGTTCATAGTTTTTTTTTTTTTCCCTTTAATGAGCTAATAATTTATAGGGTATATTAATTGTTGTGATTGTTTATGTATAGGGATGGAAACCTGAGAAGAACTTGAAATTTCTGCTGCAGAAAGTGTTGAAGCAGAGTGATGTTGGTAATCTAGGGAGGATTGTGTTGCCAAAAGTACACTAAATTTTTCCCCTTGTGTTGCGATAAAAATAGAATTTTAGTAGTCCAATTAAGGTTTACTAATGATTATAATTTGATTGAAATAGAAGGAAGCTGAAACTCATCTGCCAGAATTGGAGGCTAGAGATGGAATAACCATTCCCATGGAGGACATAGGAACTTCTTGTGTCTGGAATATGAGATACCGGTAAATATCTACGAAGTTACAATTTTGATTTAATTCATTTTCTCTTCACTTGCTATTAAATCCACTGCCCTGTTCAATCTTCATGGAGTTTCAGGTTCTGGCCAAACAATAAAAGCAGGATGTACCTTCTCGAAAATACTGGTACATAAACGAAATCATCCATTTCCAGATTTCTAAGAAAAATTATTACTATATATAGAAAGAAAGATATATGTCTTTGTTTCTGTTTGTTTCAGGAGATTTTGTAAGAGCAAATGGACTCCAAGAAGGAGATTTCATAGTGATATACTCTGATGTCAAGTGTGGCAAATATGTATGTATATTTATACTAACAAAATCAAATTTTTTTTAGAGGTTTAAACTTGTATATATGTACATTTTTCTTATACATAAAATTGAACAAAACTATATGTAGTTGATACGAGGAGTGAAGGTTCGCCAACCGGGCCAGAAATCCGAAGGGAGGAAATCTGGAAAGGGCCATAAGAACCTGCGTACTGCGAATCCAGCACTTGGTAATGACCCATGCTCTTCTCACCCATCTGAAAAGTAAGTAGTGTTGTATAACACAAGAAAAGAGAGGAGACAATATGAAGTAGACTAAGTTTGGAACAGGGTATGTCATATGTGTATTATATCCTCCTAGAAATGCCTATGTCTGCAGGCACAGTTAGCATTCATGAGCTTGCATGGTTTCAGATCTCTGCTATAATAGGTACATATGCAGAATTTGGGAACGGTATGTATTAAGGTTTGTATTTGGTGTAAGCCCTTGTCTCTTTGCGTCTTTTAACCTTGTACAACTGTACTTATGTGGTTGTTATCATATGTGTTTGTACTATCTATTAGATAAAAATCTCTCCCCTTCTCTCTCTCAATATGCTTTTGTGTAATAGATAAATGAATGTGTAGAATGCAGAGTTCTTGTTTAGCATTCAAATGTTTGACAATATATATATATATATAAGTATATTTATATATTATATGCAATTCTATAAATCATCTCTGGAGGTTTATAATTTTCATTAACTAGAATGAATATTGGTGTGAATTTTGATGAGAGGACGAGATGAGAACGCCAGGGGACTAAAAATGTTGGATACTAACCATGTTATTCTTGTTGGAAACTTATCTCACAACTCTATTATTAATGTATTAATATTACTAATTTTGTTTTTGAAAAGTCTTATAATTGGATGAACACACTCGCGTCAATTTCATGACACCGATCAGATTTAAATTGTGAATTTGTACAGGGAATTTGAATTTACTCGACTTGCGCAAGATATTTAAATTCAGGATCAAAAAACTGAATACGATTGATTTAGGCATCAAAGACCTCAATTGTATCGAGGGACCCTGGGGAAAGAAGTGAAACATAAAAGACAACAAAAATGCATTTATGACCAGCCTTAAATTGGACTACCGCTGTCATGAAGGACCCTAGCACAACCCTTTTCTGCACTGGCCTCTTTAGCCCCACAACATACTTTATTTGTTCCCATTCCACTACCCATTTGAATACATATAAAATCTTGCATCATCTGCATTACTCGTTGTAAAAAATATGACTGTTTGTTGAGTATATTTTAATTAAGGAAATTTATGGGAAGCTAAATTCTTTAAAAGTTTTCTTATTGACTTCTTGAAATCTTAGAGCATCTTCAATACAAAATATTATATGTTCATATTAAATTTATATTTTAAGAAGAATTACAGTGTCAAAATGTTATATTTTTGTAATTATGCTCCAATAGTGCATTTCATCCAAAATGTTATTTTTTTACAGAACAACCATTTCATGTTTTGAGAGCCCATTGGAGTGCTTTATTTTCATTTTAGAAATTTTTGACAATCTCAAAATATGAGAGGTCTTTTGAAAGAGCCCATTGGGTGCCTATTTTCATTCATTTGATATATTTTGATTATGGGTGGCCATTGAGCATCTCCAATAACCTCTCAAATGGGCTCTCAAACTCAAAATATAAATATAGCAAATAAATGAAAATAAGACACTCCAATGTATATCAGCTTTCGAATGACCTTTCAAACTCAAATATCTCAAAAGATCTCTCATATTTTGAAATTGTCAAAAGTTGTTAAAATAAAAATAAGGTACTGAGGAGGCCCCGGATGACATGGGCCAGATCCGACTCGCAAACACAACATTCAGTCCGTACAGCTGGGCCAGCCCATAGAAGGACACTGCCATATGGGCCGAACGAGAGTAAGCCCATCAAAGGTGACCAAGGCTTACGAAGGAATAGGCCCAGATCCAGCAATCAGTAAATATCTTGTAAATATCTTGTAAATATCTTATAAATATCTATAAATAGGAGATGGAATGAAATGGAGGGGGATCTTTTTGGGTTGAGGTGTAAGAATTCTAGAGAGAGAAAGAGGAGAAGGAATTTCTTGCATCTTCAATTGGCGCCGTCTGTGGGAAACGCATGGAAGTTTGGTTGATCAATGAGGAATATCGAATGGATTCAAACCAATTCGGTTGATCGAGACTCGATCTTTGGGATTTGAATCCAGAGCTGAGCGATTGTGACCTACTCTGGAGGAATTACAATTCTTGAAGCTTTGGAGTGACTTCAGATCTACGAGTTGTTCGATTGTGGCAGGATCTGACGGATTTAGAGTTCAGACAATTCAGATCTCGTAAACAGTGAGCATAATTCGGAGAATTAGAAGCCAGATCTAAAAATTCCTACTCACGAAGCTCAGATCTACTCGCGAACTTGAGATTAATGCCTTTACTCCGTTCGGGAATAATGATAGGTGAAAGCTCCAATCCGATGGAGGCTGTCCAGCAAACAAAGCTTGAAGAGTTGATGAACTTGATTGAAGCTCTCAAAAAAGAAAATGCAGAATTGAAAGCTGGACTGCAGCATCGGCAAATACCTGCGGTTTCGCATCCACTTCCGGTCGGAGAAGGAGGTGTTCAATCTAATATCGCGCATCAAGGCGATCAGGACGAGAACAATCAGTCAGCTCACCACCGTGATGAAAGGATGATGGACAATTTGCCACCAAATGTTCGTCGAGTTGAAGATCACGAAGGATCGACTCACGTTGATCCGCAGCGGGAAAGGTTTGACCGAGAGGAAGTGATGGAGGTTGATCGCCGTCGAGTAGCGTCGCCTTGGCAAAGAAAGTTCATAGAGGAACGGTCGTTCGATCCGTCTTACCGGCCCTCCATGGTTACTGTCACTCATCACGGTTCGGAGGGCAGAACCGTAACTCACAGAGCTACCGCTGGACTCCAGAGAGAGAATGAAGCTCTCCGATCCGCAGCTCGGACGGTGGATTCACCATTCACCGACGAGATCTTGAATGCGCCGCATCCAAGGAAGTTTGCTATGCCAGTCTTTATTCTGTTTGACGGAACGACCGATCCGATCGATCATGTGTATCATATCCAGTTGAAAATGGCCCTGAATACGGAAAACGACTCTTTAATGTGCAAATGTTTCCCTACAAGCCTGGCCGGACCGGCGCTCAGCTGGTTCAAAAACTTGCCTAGGAGCTCCATTGGTAGTTTCAGAGACCTGTGCGATCGGTTCATAAGCCAGTACTATAGGAACAAACGCCCGCCGAAGGACATCTCGAGCCTATTCACGATGCGGCAGCACAAGGATGAACGTCTCCAGGCCTTTCTTACCAGGTTTAATCTCACTAAGAGTATGGTGATCGAATGCCACCCTTCTACGGCAGTTCAAGCCTTCAAGTTAGCCATGACACGCGGAACTCCATTTCACACCAGTCTGGTAGTGAACACGCCGACTACTATGGATGAACTCAATGAGAGAGCCGATGGCTTTGTGCGCCTAGAAGAAGAGGAGGCAGCTAATGCTCGGACAACGTCGCTTGTGTCGACCGAGGAAAAGTCCAAGGCAAAGATTAGGCAGAAGCAGGCTCAGCCGCAACGTCAGACCACTTGGAAGGCCGAAAAAAGGTCCAGGGAGGAAGAGTTGATTACTCCGCTGAAGGTCACTCTGGCGAGGCTGTATCAGGAGAACAAAGACAAGTTTCATCCACCACTGCCAATTAGGCAACCCCTCGAACAGAGGGATCAAACTAAACATTGTGCTTTTCATTCTGATTTCGGTCATCAGACTAACGAATGCAGGAACCTGAGGAGGCAAGTGGAGATGTTGATAGCTAGAGGGGAGTTTGCGAGTTATGTTCAAGGTTCGGCGATGGAGCAGAATCGACCGGTGGAACAAATAAAAAGGAGTCATAAACAAAGCTCCCACAATTCGCAACCAGTTCGTATAATCAATGCTATCCATGGTCGACCCGAGCCTAGTGAAGAGTCAAATGAGCTGCTCCGGGTGCGCCTGCGGCAGGCGCAGATGAAGAAAAGGGTCGGCAATGTGACTACTCTACACCAGCAGAGCCCGTCAATGCAGATAAAGTTCGACTGGACAGACCTGCAGCGTGTTCAACTGCCTCATGACGACCCGTTGGTAGTCAGTTTGACAGTGGCAGATTGCTTGGTGCGCAGAGTTCTGATCGATCCTGGGAGCAGTGCGAATGTCATGCCGAGGGACATATTTGACAGGCTCGACATTAAACCAGAGAGGCTCAAGCCCACCGGAAATCCCTTATTAGGGTTCGATGGGAAGAGGGTGGAACCCGTCGGGATGGTGGAAGTGGAAGTTCAAGCTGCAGAACGAGCTCTTATGGAAACTTTTGTGGTTGTGGAAATTCACCCCTCGTATAATCTCCTGATGGGAAGAGGATGGATTCACAGAGTCCGAGGTGTACCCTCAACTCTGCATCAGGTCATGAGGTGCCTCGGGCCCGATGGAGATAAAGTAATAGACATTCGGGGGGATCAGGTCGCAGCCAAAGAGTGTTATTCCGTCACACTAAAGCATGCTGGGAAAGGAAAGGCGCCCGTCCGTTCGACAAGCCCCAGATAGCAATTACAGGAACCTCCGCTCGAGCAGAATAGGGTGGAGGAGTCAGTCGACTTGACCGAGGAGCCCCTTCTGGATGTGCAGATCGATCAGTCCAGGCCAGAACGAACTACCAGAGTAGGTATAAGACTGACCAGAGAAGAGCAGCAAGAGCTAGTGGATTTCTTGTCCCACAATGTCGACGTATTTGCATGGAGTCACCTAGACATGCCTGGAATTAGTCCTTCCGTATCCTGTCATTCCCTGAATGTCAATCCCAATTTCAAACCAGTGAAACAGAAGCAGCGAAGATTTGCTCCAGAACGTAATCAGATCATAGCGGAAGAAGTCGATAGGCTGCTTGATGCGGGATTTATCAGAGAAGTGCACTACCCTGAGTGGTTGTCCAACGTCGTTGTGGTGCAGAAGAAAAATGGGAAATGGCGAGTATGCATTGATTTCACCAATTTGAACAAAGCCTGTCCGAAGGACAGCTTCCCGTTGCCTAAGATTGATCAAATGGTGGATGCCACCACTGGGTATGAGCGTTTAACCTTTCTGGACGCATATTCAGGTTATAATCAGATTCCTATGGACCCCGCAGATGAAGAAAAAACTTCTTTTGTCACCGAGCGAGGAACATACTGCTACAAAGTTATGCCTTTCGGGCTAAAGAATGCGGGAGCAACTTATCAACGACTTGTTAGCAAAGTTTTTAAGAATCAAATGGGTAAGATTGTCGAAGCCTATATTGATGATATGGTGGTAAAGAGTAGGAAAAAGGATGATCATCTGAAGCATCTGCAAGATGTATTTGATGTACTAAAGCGATATGGGATGAGGCTCAATCCGACCAAGTGCTCGTTCGGTGTGAGTTCCGGACAGTTTCTGGGACACGTGGTCAACCGCAGGGGCATCGAAGTTAGCCCCGCTCAAGCAGAGGCTTTGATTAAGAATGCCGAGCCAAAGACGATCAGAGAGGT